TAATGTTCGGAAGGATTCCGGCTTTGAGGGTGCACAAGTTATGCTTGTTCGCGGTGTTCCAGTCCCAAGAATGGCGCTCCCACGCGGTCCAAGATCAACAAGACGCAACAGTCAGTTTGATCCGTGGCATTGCCAAAGAACAATGTGTTGGCATGCTTCAGGGTCTTCAAACAGTTGTCTTCCAACGAGGCAGCTCCTTCACTAAAACGCACCGTTGTAGGGGCCTATGAAGAGGGGGCTTGGAGGGAGGGTTTATTCCAACATCGTTGATGCCTCTTGGGTTTTCCCTGGTCTCTCCTCCCTCCTCCCTCCTCCCTCCTCCCTCCCTCCCTCCCTCCCTCCCTCCCTCCCTCCCTCCCTCCCTCCCTCCCTCCCTCCCTCCCTCCCTCCTCCCTCCCTCCTCCTCCTCCTCCTCCTCCTCCTCCTCCTCCTCCTCCTCTCTCCTTCCCTCCTCCCTCCTCCTCCTCCTCCTCCTCCTCCTCCCTATCCTCCCTCCTCCTCCTCCTCCTCTTCCTCCTCAGAGCCAGGCTGACCGAAGCTAAGGCAGCGGCCAAAAGGGCTGCAGGCAGCACCCTGGGAGGAAGAGTGCAAGCCCGCCTCTTCATCATGGTGAAGCCTTGGTGGAAGCCTGGGAACAAGAGTGCAAGCCCTGCAGAGGGACGTCACCCCCGAACTCTCCATGCACGACGACACCGACACGAGGCAGGGAAATGCGGCCCCGCTCAGACACCGACCACGGTGGCCAGGCGACAAGATCAAGCTGAGCTACGGTTGTGACAGATGCGGCGAAAGGTGGGGATCCGAGTGCGAGTTGGCAGCTGGACTATGCTGAGGATACCCACATGCAGTCCGAGTGGCGCACCCAAGCCACACGCTCATGGCGGCCAGCACGGTAATCTTCTGCAACGCATGCGGTGCGAGGAGTACGGGCGGACCTGACATTTTACTAGCTCAGGTTCGCGTCGAAAAGCCAGGCGACAAGAATCCAAAGACGAGGCACAACCCCATGCGCGAAGGGAGGCACCAAGTAACGCACGAGTTCGTGGGCGAGCCGATCCAGATAGCGAGGAAGCGTGCGGAGGATGATACGACAACACCTGGCTGGTGTGGTCCCGCTCCTCGGGTCACGAAGCGAGCACGGAGCCAATGTGGTCCCGTTCCTCGGGCCACCAGCAGCAAACCAGCGTGGTCCCGCTCATCGGGCCGCCAAGCATGGCTACTACGGCTGGTGTGGTCCCACTCCTAAAGGCCTCCTAGATGGGGTCGGAGCAGATGGGGTCGGAGGATCGCGCCACATCGCCGATAAATCTGCAATGCATCGGCGATGCATCGGCGATGTATCGAGGATGCACCAGCGATGCATCGTCGATGTCGGCTGTGCATCGGCGACATCGACGTGAAGAAAAGTCGGACTCCGCGTCGAGCCGCATCGCCGATGCATCGGCGGTGCGGCGCAATCCGCCGACCCCATCTACTCCGACCCCATCTAGGATGCCTAGAACTCCTCGGGTCACCAGCAGCGGATGCGGCAACTGGTGTGTTCCCGCTCCTCGGGCCACCAGTCCCAGGGCGTGGTCCCGCTCCTCGGGTCGCCCTGGGCTGCGGCCCAGCCTGGCGTGGTTCCCCGCGTCGGGTCGCCCGGCGGCGTGGTCCCGCCTCTCGTGTACCCCGTCGGCAGATACGGATACGACACCTGGCATGGCCCTGCTCCTCGGGGTGCCAGGACGTGGGCCAACGCCGCCCCATGGGGAAGCCATGGAACGCTCGGCAGAACCGACGCCACGCACGCCACCGGCGGAGCCGCGAGGCGTCGGAGAGGCGAGGGGAGAAGGCGACCAACCCCATGGGGCGGCGGCTCAAATCACCGTGGGCCTGGACACGGCGTGATATAATGGTGCAAATCGAGCTCCTCGCGTCCGACCTCGCGGAACTCGGCGTGAAGGGCTCCCCCACGGAGGGGGGCCCCACCCGCCACGGGCGCGACGCGGTCGGGCGGCTCGCTTCGAGACGCGCGGGCACCGACCGTCCGCCTCGCAAACTGCTCGTGTTCGTGGTCTTACTCCTCCTCCTCTCCTCCTTTCCTCCTCCTCCTCCTCCTCCTCCTCCTCCTCCTCCTCCTCCTCCTCCTCCTCTTCCTCCTTTCCCTTCTCCTCCTGCCCCTCCTCCTCCTCGGCCTCCTCCTCCTCCTCCTCCTTCTCCTCCTCCTTCCTCCTCCTCCTCATCCTCTTCCTCCTCCTCCCGCCTCCTCCTCCTCTCCGCTCCGCCTCCGCCTCCTCCTCCTCCTCCTCCGCCTCCTCCTCCTCCTCCTCCTCCTCCTTCATGCCTGTTCCTCATAAGCAACTCCTGCCTGTCCCGCCACCGGTCGTGTCCGTAGGTCGGGCCGGGCGTTTCACCTGAGGCTTCCTCGCAACGCATGGTCCTGAAGCTCGAAAGTTGCAAAAGCTTCAAAATTGGAGCCTGGGTGATTTTCAAAATGTGTTTTTCGCCTGAACGCCGCGCACACTCGTCTCAAAAACTTGCAACAACTTCTCAAATGGAGCCCGGCTCGTTTTCAAAATGTGGTTCTCGCCTTAACGCCGCGGACATCAATAAGATCCAACCCTCGCATTCCTATCGATGCAACAGAATGTCGGTGCACATCCATCCGATCCGACCCTCACCAACCTATGCAACATACCCTGGGCGACGTACCCAACCCCTGCGCACCGCGTGGCCTGAAGAGACGGATTGACTTTGTACGGGGTGATGATATAGCAAAGAGGCGCATTGCGTGCGAGCATTACTTGGGAAGCCAGCGAGGCGCGCGACTCACAGGACACCGATTGATGGACCAGAGCTTGGTGTAGGTGATTACTTAGGTCCGTGGTGCGAGATCCCGCTCTGATCTACGGAAGACGTCACACCGCCAGGCCCCCCAGCAACCCTCGAAACTGGCGACAGCTTTGCACTTCGCAGCCTTCCAACGACGACGAGGTCCCGCTGAGATTTGCAGGACGTCACCCCGCTGGACCCCCCAGCAGCCCTCAAAAGTGGCGACGCGCTCGCAGTTCGCAGCGCCTCAGCGACGGAGAGGTCCCGCTGTGGTCAGCGTAGGACGTCACTCCGTTGGACCCCCCGGCAACCCTGAAATGTCTACAAATTCTTACATCACAGCCCCCCAACGACGGCGATGTCCTGGTCTGATCCGCGTACGGCGCCACTTTGCCGGACACCGCAGCAATCCTCGAAAGTGGCGACAACGTCGCAGTTCGCACCCCCCCAGTGCGCCCACCCCGCCCGCCGCATGTCCATGTCAGCACACCCCTCACACGGTTCGTGGCCCCGAAGGGAGCTCCACCGAAGGCCCCAAAAGCAAAGCCCACATGCGCCTACCCCGACCTCCGCATGCCAATTTCGGAACACCCCTCCGCACGGTTCGTGGCCACACCAGGAGCTCCACCAAAGACACAAGAAGCAATGTCCACATGCGCCCACCCCGCCCGCCGCATGCCCATTTCGGCACACCTTTTACACACGGCTCGTTGCCCCACGCGGAGCTCCACCGAAGGCCCCACAAGCACAGTCCACACGTGCCCACCACGCCCACCGCACATCCATGCCCGCACACACACGCACACACACACATACAAACACACATACACACACACACACACACACACACACACACACGCACGCACGCACGCACGCACGCACGCACGCACGCACGCACGCACGCACACACACACACACACACACACACACACACACACACACACACTCACCGCACGGTTCGTGGCCCCATAGGGAGCTCCACCGAAGGCCCCATAGGCAAAGTCCGCATGCGCCCACCCCGCCCTCCGCATGTCCATGTCGGCACACCCCTCACGCGGTTCGTGGCCCCATGGGGAACTCCACCGAAGGCCCCAGCTGCCAAGTCCACCACGTGCGAATTCCTGCACACCTCTCACACGGCTCGTGGCCCCAGAGGGAGCTGGGCCGAAGGCCTCAGAGGCAAAGTCAACATGCGCCCACCCCGCCCTCCGCATGTCCTCTTCGGCTCACCACTCACACACTTCGTGGCCCCCGTGGGCGTCGCTGGAATCTTCTCGGGGCGGCCAGCGCGCGTCGCCGGAACTCCGTGCCGCGCTCTGCCCACCGTCTCGCTCGCCCGTCGTCGTCCTGCCCAGCGACCGGAACCTTGCCCGCTATCAGCCAGTTAGCTAGCTCTCTTTGCTCCGCGCAGCGGACGATCCGCGCGCGGCGCTGGGACCCCTTCGGCGCGACCGGCGCGCGTCGCGGGGACTCCGCGCTGCGCTGCGCCTTCAGCCTTGGACTTTGGAGTGCGCGGGCAAAGAGGGAGAAAAAGAGAGGAAGAGTCATCTTGGACGGTCTAGCTGTCGTCGTGCCCCCCCATCGAACACATCACGGACAGAAGAAGCCGCGCCGAAGGCCCTATAGAAGCTCCATCGAAGGCCCCGGTGGCAGCGCCCGCGTGCCGCCGCCATCCCGCTTTGGCAGGCCCCTCGAACGTTTCATGCCCCCATGTCGAGCTTCACCGAAGGTGATACTCAGGACTGCGGTTCTCAGAGCTGCATATGGCAGGGTCCTTCGCCAAGCTAGTGTTTGACGGTCCTGAGGCTGGGCGAGGGCCCCCAGAGCCGGCAAACGACGAAACACCGCCGCATGGAATTGTCCAATCCTTTGGAGGTTTGGGGCGCTTGGCGCTGATAAACCTGACTGGTGACAGCTGCTTTCTAAAACAGCGGCCTCCCATGTGGGGTCTGAGTAGATGGGGTCGGAGGAACGCGCAGCGTAGCCGATGTGTCACTGATGCATCGGCGATGCACCGGCGATGCATCGGCGACGTCCGCAAAGCATTGGCGACGTCGGCGTGCAGAAAATCGGGCTCCGCATCGCGCCGTATCGCCGATGCATCGGCGATGCCGCGCGATCCTTCGACCCCGTCTGCTCGGACCCCGACCTATAGATGTTAAGATCCGCCGGTGCCGCGGCGCTGGGGCCTTCTGCGCGGGCGGCGCGGCGGCCTCCTCCACGAGCTGCTGCTGCGGCGGCGGCGGCGTCGTCTGATAGACCACCCGCCCGTCCGCCGGGCCGTCCGCGGCCAGGGTCGCCGCCTTCGGGGGCGTCCACGAGGGGGGATCGCAGAGCATGGCCCGAGGCACGTGCGCGGAGGGGGAGGGGGGCGGGGCGCGTGCTGGAGGAAGACGAGGGGGCCATGAGATCTGAGGAGACTCCATGGCCCAGGCCATGAGATACACACACACACACACACACACCTAGTCACCACCCCCGTCTTGGCCACCCCCGACTCCTGCGGATTCGCCGCGAGGGCGACGGGTGCCGCCTGGGCCTCCTCGGCGGAAGAAACAGCCCAGGCCGCCAGCGCATTGAAAAATTCAATCCGCGGAGGTTCTTTTTCTTTTTCGGCCACTTGGGGCCCTCGCCAGGTCCCTGGAGCGTCGAAAAGCGACTCGGGGTGAAAAATCTGCCCTGAGGAAAAGGTCGGGACTTCCGGGGACTCCGCACTGGAAGATTTCAGACATCGCGCCACACCGAGGGGGGAAAGCAAAGGCGGGCAGGCGTTTTCAGTCAGAAGGCCGCCTGGCGTCTCAGAAGCCACCCGGCCTCTGAGAAGCCCTCTGTGGCTTCGGAGACGGCCCAGAAGGCCTCCCAGAAGTCTAGGTTTAGGTCGGGCCTGTCCCCCTACGGGCGGATTTTGGACGAAACATAAAAAATACCACCCCCAACAAAACCCAGAACTAGCCAACAATGGCCAATCGCCCCCAGACTATGTTCTGACTATCTTGAAATCCTCCTCCCGCAGAGAAAGACAGGCCCGACTTACGCCTAGACTTGTGAGACTCCTGACGAGGCCTGCCCCTCTGCCCCCCCCCCCTCCTCTGGGCGCGCCGCCGCTCCTGGGAGGCAGCAGCAGCTCGTGAGCATGTAAACGTTCGGAGGCCCGCGCGGATTTCTGGGACCGGCTCTCGCCCTCCTCCCCTAGGGGGCCACGTGCGAACCCTACCCCTGCCCCCCACGACTTCTGAGGGGGAGGGCGGGGTGCATTTCGCTCGGGAGCTCCCGAGCGAAGTGAACCCCACCCTCCCCCTCAGAAGTGGTGGGGGGTAGGGGTAGGGTTCGCATAGAACCCCCCATCCCTGGCGCACGGAGCGCGCCAGGGGCGGCGCTGGAGGCACCGCCAATGGGGTCCAGCTCCGATCTAAAAAAAAAACGCGCGCCCTCCGAAAATATATGCTCATGCTGCGTTTTCTTGACTCGGCTCCTTCTTGGGAGCGACGAACCTCATCTCCGTGGACTTGCTGCCGCAGTAGGAGTCCCAGGAGTCCTTGCGATGCTTGCAGAGGAGCTCCGCAACCGCGGCGAGCCCCGCCTGCTCCGCCCACACGTCGAGCTGCCACTGTGGGTGGCGGCGGAGGAGAAGAAGCGCAAACAGCAAGGGGCGGAGCAGGAGTGAGGAGGTCCCACACCGCCTCGCGTCACGAAGCAAATGAGGTATCGGGAAACGTTCGGCCTCTGGGCAAGACGTGCCACCTCGGTGCCGCCCAAAAGCTACCAAGGATGAAAAGCTGGCCCCAGGGAAAGTATCCAGGCCTCGAGGCTCCATGCTGCGAAAATGTAACCGGGAAGTGAGACAAACAGCGTTTCGGCTTTTGTATATTTACATATATAGATGCACTCACACACGCAAACTGGACGAACAAAGAACAAATAAGCCTTACCCTAGCGAAGAACGCAAACTTACTTGAAGGTGTGGCGCCTATGTGCAGGACCGCCTTCGACAAAGAACACAAAGCCACACTCAACTGAGCAGGGCGAAGCGAGATGGGCGAAGCGTCACCATGCGGACGCAGCTACTGGGGCCTTCGGTGGAGCTCCCTGCGTGGCCACGAAACGTGTGAGGGGGGGGCGATATGATGCGGGCCCGCATTCGACCGCAGCAACTGGAGCCTTCGCTGGAGCTCCCTTTTGGGCCTCGAAGCGTGTGAGGTGTCGACCGAAGTGGGGCGGGTCACCATGTGACCCAGCCTCTGGCGCTTTCGGTGGAGCTCCCTGTCGGGCCACGAAATGTGCGAAGGGTGTGCCGAAAATGGGGCGGGCCACCATGTGAACCCAGCCACGGGGGCCTTCGGTGGAGCTCCCTTTGCGGCCACGGAACGTGTGAGGGGTGTGCCGAAAAGGCGCGGGTCACCATGTGAACTCAGCCACTGGCGCATTCGGTGGAGCTCCCTGTGGGGGCGCGACACGCGTGGGGAGAGTGCCGGGCCACCATGTGAACCCAGCCTCTGGCGCCCTCGGTGAAGCTCTCTGTGGGGCCACGAAACGTGTGAGGTGTGTGTGTGTGTGTGCCAAAATGGAGCAGGTCATCACTTGAACCCAGCCGCTGGCACCTTCGGCTGAGCCCCCTGTAGGGCCACGAAATGTGCGAAGGGTGTACCAAAAGTGGGGTGGGCCACCATGTGAACCTAGCCACGGGGGGCCTTCGGTGGAGCTCCCTGTGGGGCCACAAAAGGTGTGAGGGGTGTGCCGAAAAGGCGCGGGTCATCATGTGAACTCAGCCACAAGCGCATTCGGCGGAGCTCCACCTGGGGCCACGACACGTGTGAGGGGCGTGCCAAACTTGAGCGAGCCACCATGTGAACCGAGCCACTGGCGCCTTCGGTGGAGCTCTGTGGGGCCACGAAGCGAATGAGGTTTTTTTTGAAGAGGGAGCGCGACCACCAGATCTCGACGCCTCGGACGTGACCACAAGGCAAGCCTGTGAGACGCCAAGCAAGCCCAGACCACTAGTACACAAGCCAACCTGCAACATGCAGACTCGTGAAGGGGACGCTGGCCTGGGAGAGAGAGCGGAGCAGCAGTGACAAGACACCACGAGCTGCCCGTGCAGTGGCGGAGGAGGAGGAGGAGGAGGAGGAGGAGAAGGCGAGGAAGGACGAGGAGGAGGAGAATCGAAGGACGAGGACGATGAGGAAAGACGGGGGGACGAGGACGATCGATGCTCCAGGACTAATCGGTGCTCGAGGACGAGGACGATGAGGGAAGACGGGGGGAAACTCAATGCCCCAAAACGGGGCCCAAACGAGGCGCACTTCGACGCTCCGTGAGTTACCGCGCAAACGAAACGCCCTCGAGCATCGGGCGTCCTGGCGACGGCACGAAAAAGCGTGGTAGCAAAGATGGGAGCGGAAGCCAGCGGAGGGCCGACCAGGCCCGCAGAAAAAACAACCACCTATGGAAGAAGGGCACGAGAGCCAGGAGAAGATAGCGCCGACCAGAAGCAATGGCATTCGATTGCAAAGGAAACGAGGACTACCCATGAAAATGCGGAGGTACAGCCCCTCCGGCGCAGTAGCAGCCGCCGTGGTATCACCTGGGCCCCCGCGCGAGCCGCCAGCCACTCCCTGACAATCAGCTTCGGTGGGCTCGGGGGCCCTGGCCGTCACATCCGCGGGTCAGATTTGGAACTCCGAGCGGCAGAGTTCGGGGGGAGCGAGGACGAGAGAGGCAGAGGAGGTAGAAAGCCGGCCAACCCCAGCAGGGCTGGCCGGCGCTCCGCCTCAGGGAGGCGAGAGCGGGAGGAAGGAGACGAGGGGGAAAAGGCAGCTCGAATCGGCTGCCGGGTGCAACGTGTCCCGATGTCCATTGGCCACGCGGCCAGGACAGAGGCGGCGCGATCGAGCGCAACCCATCGCCTCGAAGTGTGCGGCAGCCGAAAGCTATCTTGAAAATGCTGGGCGTTGGCATACTCTAAAAAACCCGCCTGGATCTCTGACGTCCAGATCCCGCCGAAAATCCAGTTCACAAACGTGGCGCCCCGCGGAACTGGCAACATGTGGTCTTAACGCATGCCGCTCCAATATGCGCACTATTTCACAGATGCCTTGCGAGACGCTCCCTCGCGCGGACGGCGCTGCAGATAAGCACAAACAAAAAGGAAAAGAGGAGGAGGGAGGGCCGGGAGGGAGGAAGGAGGACGGGGAGAGGGAGGTGCAGGAGAGGAAGGAGGAGAAGGAGGAGGGGGAGGAGGGGGAGGAGGGGGAGGAGGAGGAGAAGGAGGAGGAGGAGGAAGACGAGGAGGAGGAGGAGGAGGAGGAGGATGGGGAGGCGGAGGACGGAGGTGGAGGACGGAGGGTTGCAGGGGGGGAGCACCGCTCTCGTTGCGCGCCGCTGCCGTAACCCGGGCCCTCCCTCGACGGGCACCTCGGCTGGCGCGCGCCGCTGGCCCCGTCCAAGGGGCGGAGATTCGGGCAGTTACGGTGAAGGCATTGGATAAGGAACCCTTAGATAAGGAATCCAGGGTCTGGAAGCTGGTGGAACACCAACTGGGGCTCCACCACAGAAATCACCGCCGCCCCTACCAGGTAAGGAATCCTCCAGGGTCTGGAGCCTCCTGGGCACATTCCTTAACCAACGCCCCGCCCCCACCGTATTCGCTGGAGCTCAAGAGGACACCGTCTTCGCCGTAGTGGTCCAGACCGTCACGGGCCAAACGCGCGGCGAACACAACAACGAGCGGAAGGAGGGGGAAGGGAGGAGGAAGGAGGAGGACGGGAACGAGGCGGCGAACTTTTGCATCACGACTTTACTCAGGACGCGGCCGCCTGAAGGCGGAGGCAACCAGGCCCATGGCGTCCCCACGCCCACGGGTGGCCTCGCGCAAGAAACCATTCAACAAGCCAGCGCACGCTGCAGAGCGCGCGCCGTGTCTGACGGCGTCGTGTGCCCTGTGCCACGACTAGACTCTACTGGCGCTGGCCGCCGTCGCCGCCGAGCCTGCATCGGCACGCGGGGCCGCAGCACACGGGGCCATGCCCAGGAAGTCGTCGAGACAGCACGCAGGCGGCTTGCGCAGGTTCAGCCTCCGAGCGCAAGAAGCGCGAAAACAACTACAAAAAAGCGTAGTGCTCGATGCTGCCCTCGGCCTGGGAGCCGAAGATGCAACGGCCCCCGCCTTGCGTGCGACGGCTCGTCGGCCACCCACTGAAGGCGGTGCGGACCTGGCAAGCTTGCGCGCGCGGCGGCAGCCAGGCCGACGTGGCACGCAGAGTGCTCAGCTTGCTGCTGAGCCCGTGGTCGGGCGGAGTCAGCGAGCGCCACCGGTCCAGGCGGGCTCGGGCGTGCGCTCTCGCCGGGGCCTCAGAGCGGGGGTGGAGGAGTTCCCTCGCCCTTGCCTGCCAGCCCGCGCGCTCCTGGACGGCATGCCCACCACGGCGAAGAAGAGACACTTCCCCTTGGAGTTGGCGCCCCCAGGCCTGTACTTGTTGCACGGCGTCGGCCAGCGAGAAGAGGAAGCTCTTGGACAACCAGGGCAGCAAGCTGACTGCCAGGACGGCGCTGCTGGGGTGGCGGATCGCTTCTCGAAGCGCGCTGGCGCGCTGCTGCGCTCTGAGGCCTCCGCTGGCCGAGGTCCTCGAACTGCGCCGCGCGGGCCCCGGCAGGCAGCAGACGACCAGCGGACGTCGAGCGAGCTCTGCGTGCAAGCGAGCGGCGCGGGTGCCTTGAAGAAGTGGGAGGCCACTCCGAGGGCACACCCTGGCCCCCACGTCCGCGAAGGACGCGGGCAGCGGGTCGAGCTGGGAAACGAACGACAGCACCGAGACCAAAGACAGAGTATGCGTCCAACGCGTTCAACAGTCCCAAACCTACAGTGCTCCGAAGTTGCGCCCTGGCGGCGAAGTTCTCGACAGGGGCCTGCCAGGAGCGCTCTGCCGGGCCGGGGCCGACGACGAATCCGAGATGCGTCGCCTCAGAGCTGATATCTAAGCTGCCCCAAGCAGGAGCGACGCGATGCAAGCGTTCCCGCGACGAAACGTGCGAGGGGTCTGACGAAGTGGGGCGGGTCGCCGTGTGAACCCAGCCAGTGGCGCCTTCGGTGGAGCTCCCTGTGGGGCCACGAATCGTGTGACGGGTGTGCCGAAATGGGGCGGTGATTATGCTGACGACGATGATGACGACGATGAGGATGCTCCGAATGACAAGGACGAAGATAAAGAGGAGAAGAGAGAAGGGGTGAGGAGGAGAAGGTGGGGAGCGGCGAGGCGAATTCAAAGGGAGGACCCAGCACATAGCAGGGCTTGGAATGAGGAGAGGAGGATGAGCAGGATGTGGACGAGAGGAGAAGGACGAGGAGGAGGAGGAGGAGGAGGAAGAGGAGGAAGAGCAGCAGGAGCATGAGGAGCAGGAACACGAGTAAGAGGAGGAGGCGGAGGAGGAAGGAACAGAGGAGGAGGAGCAGCAGCAAAAGCAGGAGAGAGAGGAGAAGGGGGAAGAGCAACAGCAGGAGGAGCATGAGGAGCAGCAGGAACAGGAACAGAAAGATCGAACAGCCTCTCCAGTGTTCATGTGGTGGTTCACGCACCCTGCCGGCATGCGCACGTAGCATCCAGGCTCCTTCGGGCAGCTCCCGCTACCGAACTCCTCCCGCGCTCCCACTGGCCTCATAAGCAGCACCCCCGCGGAGCCGCCAGGGAAGGCCAGACCCAAACATAAGATGTCGGGAAAAGAGCGGCCAGAGGGTTGCTTCCTCCTCCTTCTCGTCCTCCTCCTTCTCCTTCTCCTCCTCCTTCCTCCTCCCTCATCCCTCCTCCCCGCGCATGCTGCCACCACTATTACTACTAGTAGGACTGCTACGGCGGCTGCTACTACGACTACTACCATGTCTGCTCCTTTTGCATCTACGACTACTACTACTACTACTACTACTACTACTACTACTACTACTACTACTACTACTACTACTACTACTACGACTACTACTACTACTACTACTACTACTACTACGACTACTACTACGGCTACTACTACGACGACGACGACTACTACTACGACTGCTACTCCGACTATGACTACGACCACAACTCTAGAAACTACTACTACTACTACTACTACTACTACTACTACTACGACTACTACTACTACTACTACTACTACTACTACTACTACAACTACTACTACTACTACT